ATTTACAAAGTACCGCGGTTTGACGCCATTTTGGCTCGAAAGTCAAGCGGGAAATTTAAAACTATATCGTTCTATTGATAACATTACGCCAAATTCCCGTTCTTTTTTTCTCGTGGTACTATGAAGAGTCGAAAGTACTTCGTACTGCCATTTTTGCAACTCCAAAGGCATCAAGACGGCAATATTTTTGTAAATAAATGGTGAGATGCAGTGACAAGCTGTCAAACCGCCATTTTGGCTTGAAAACAGGCTTCAGGAACCGCGGTACTTTGTAAATCTAGGGACTTTAAAAAAATATATATATATGAGCGCCATCTATCAATAATTTATTAAGTCATTTAATAATAATAATATTAATAAAATGTGAAATAATGCAATCTATTTCAACTTTTGTGTAAAACAAATATAAATTAAATAGTGCAACAAATGTATTTGTTTCAAATATCAGAAATATATTTTTTTAATTTTTTAGTTGTAACTTGCAGGAAACTGTAAATTTAATTTCTTTGACGACACTAAAAAAAAGTTTATTTTTAGCTTTATTCTAAAACAATAAGAAATAGACTTATCAAACCTTATATTTTTGTAATCAGAAAAAAATAACGAATTTAATAACCGAATAATCAGTGCTTGTTTCCATTTAAAAAAACGAAAATTGTTATATCTCAAAATCTAAAACCGAAATTTTTTTTTGACTACATCATGATATTCTCTGTAAAAAAGTGTCCATATAATGTCTTAGTTATAATACTCCACCTATAATAACCAAGATAATTGCACTTGTTGGTTTTACGATATTTTCAATTTTGGCCTCTAGGGGAAAAACCAAAGACGATAGCGCTTTGAGGTGGGTGTTCGGCATTAGCAGTTTCTCGAAAAACGAGATAATGACATGTAAGCTACTTTTTTTCTAACTCTTATAGTTTCCGAGTTAGCCTATCCGGACATCGAATTTGAACCACCCTGTACATACACTATTACAATAGTTTGACGAGCAACCCGAACCTAATAGTATTGAAGTTTTTCAGCTTAGAGATGTGAAGCAACATCCTAGAAGCGATATCGTCTTTTCTATTCACTATTTTAAATAAGGTCAAATTTTAAGGAAAATAAATGCCATAAGCACTAATTTCTGTTGAATTGACCTACTGAAATTTTGGCATATCTGTCCTTATTAACTTTTATATTGCTTTTTGTACATTTTGTGTTTGAAATTCATCGAGAATTCGATTTTATTTTGTAGTTTTATGACTTTATAGTGAAAGTGTTTTCCATAAATATGATTTCCTGTAACTGAACGCAATTAAAGGAGGTTACTTTAGTTTACCAGCAATATATGAAAATGAATAAAAGCAATTCAACAAAGAATATTTCACCTAATTCGCTTTTAAATTTCACATAATGAACCGACTGTTGAATACCTATATTAATAAACATATATTAAATTATTACCTTCAAACAAGATAATTGTCCATTAGCTTGTTTTAAATACTGCGCTAAAATACTTGTAGGCAACGTACAAACAGAATCCTTAATATGAACGACGTTAATTAAAGCAACCTAAAATAGATTGTTCACAGAATTATTATCTTCATTTTAAAATAATTAGAGCCAAAAAATTCATACAGTTTCATCGGGATGAATATCATTTTCTTTATCATTGCGAACCAAAAATATTACTAAAGGATAATACAACCTTGGAGGTGGGCCCAAATCCATCTGTTGGGCTGGTAAACTTAAGGATATCATTTCATCTGCATGAGGATTTTTTCTAAAAATATAAATAATTAAATATTTCCTTATAAAATATTAACATTACACGAACTTAATTTCAACCCCAAATTGTTTATAACTTCCTTTTAAAAAATCTCCCGTATAAAAAGCTTCACGAAGTATCGACCAGGATTTCCAAAGGCAAACGTGAAGTTCTTGAATGCTCACACCCCAGTAAGCATATATGCAATATTTTACTTGACTTGAAACGCTGCATTTCATATCTTAAACAAAAAGAAAATAAAAATTAAAATAAATACAATTTTATTATCACAAACGGAAAATTATTTAATCGTTAAACAGTAATTATTTAAAGTAAGTGTGAAGTCATTAAACAATTAATTTATCTTGTGGTCAACACCAAAATCTGAATTTTTCAACGAAATGAAAAATAAAAAAACTAGATAAAATATTATTTATATAACAAGTTACGAAACGATTTACAAGAATTGAGTTAAAACCGTGCAAAACTCTTAGAAAACCACTCGGTTGACCAATTAACCCAAATATAAGAAACGATTGGTAAAAACTACTTATTGCTCAATTGAATCGAACCGTACATTTAAGGTATTTAAAAGCCGACATTTAAAGAATGCATATTTATTTATGTATATTTTTTTTATCATCAGTCGTTGTCGCCTTACATTATTTACGTTTCTTAATCACTCTCGCCGTTCGGTATTTTAAAGTTAAAGTATAGTGCAACACAATCGTTTTGCAATAGAGGTGCCTTTTTCACGACAACGCTTTTGAATGGCGCGGTTTTATCGAGTCCTCCTCCTTTCGTTATTGCATAAGCGACAGTTGGTGTGTTTAACAACTGAGACGAGGTTTAAAAATGAAAAGAAAAGTTATTTAAAAAAATTATTGTTGCTTAATTTTTTCGGTGGATTTCTCATTATTTATTTTTTTTTTTGAGATTTCATTAGGACTGGTTTTTTTGTTAAGAAATAGAACTTTCGACATGTTGATATATTCTTTTCAAAAGATGATAATTTTACGCATTAAACAGTGAGTTGTCACCACTGGTTGCAACAAAGATATCTTGCAATATGTTTAAATAAAAATAAAATTACATTGTCCGAAAATTTTTTTCTCACAGAGTTCTATAACAAAGTGGAGATTAAACAAAGTATTAACGCATAAATAAAGAACCAGATGCCTAATATTGATAACCTCCTCCCAGAGTTGTACAAGCTAGGGGGCGAACACATAATTAGTGAACTGCACTCATTATTCTCCAAACTATAGAGAGAAGAAAAAACATCCCACCGACTGTGATATGGATGCGAGACATGGATTATAACAGAATTCGCAAAAAAAAATAAGCTGGAAGTATTTGAAAGAAAAATACTCAGGAAAATTTTTGATCCAATAAAGATACAACGTAGAACTTATCGATCTGTTCAAGGAAGCCCCTATCTCATCATGGGTTGGTCATGTAGCACGAATTAGCCAGAGACCAAGAGAGAGGCCACAAAAACGAGACACAACGACTTATCAACGTGTTGGAGCCTCAGTATTGGAGGCAAAAGATAAAGAAGACCAACGCTGAATTTGGGCTGTAACGTCATTGGAAAGAAAAAAATGTTTTGACTACTCACATTGACACATAAGAAGTGAAGGGACCGATACATTTTGTATTATCCAGGTTAAAATGTAGTAAATATTACAAAATCTGGGTACTCAAAGTTATCAAGAAATGAAATAAAATTGAATAATTTTATCTCATTGGTAAATTTGAGTCAAACATCTTATGTAAAATCCTTTAATTTTGCTTACTTCTACATATTCCCACATTAAAATAATTGCAAAATGGTTAACATTCAATTTTATTTAACACTAAAAAATATCAAAGTAAAATCAAAGATATCAAAGACGCTGTTTATGTGAAAGCATTGATACTGAGAATGGGTAGGATATAGAACATGGCACCAAGGGAATACACATACATCAAACCATGCGAAATTACATCATTAACTGTACTATATTTAGTATTGATCATTCATAAAACTAGAAATATATACCTTAGCAAATAGCTGGGAAATATTTCTAATTATGAATCTGATTACATTTTTGAAGATCTCAAAAACTACTAAATACAACGTGTCAGCTTCATTTAAATGAGGAGATTAGTACATATGTGATCAATACTCATTTATGAACATCAATGCTTTACATTTACAATGTTCTTTTACTATAGAAAGTGAATAGCGTTCATTATAAAAACCATAAGATTTTTCGAAAAGCCATAATCAAAGCAAAAGTTGAAAGTACTTTAAAATTGGACTGTTGCAACGTATGCAACATAAAAGGTTGAAACAGCGTTTTCGTCTTCATTAGTGATGCAACGGATTGTGATTTTCCGAAATGCCGGATACCGGATATTCGGCATCCCTTTCGGCCGGATATCCGGCCATTATGGTTATAATTTCTGAATGTTCTCTTAACTCTAAAAAGAGGATACTTTAATTAATAGTTGGCGATATTTCCATAAAGTTCTTCAAGAAATAAATTTTATAGTGAATTTTGAAAATTATCGATGAAAATTGCAACATCAAAAATTTTATCAAAACTTCAAATATTGTTTTCTCAAAAACTAAAAGTTATCTTTCAAAACGTGTTGGTTCATTGGAAAGAGGACACTCTTATTAATACTTTGGGAAATTTTCATACTCATATTCCAAGAAATAGATTTTATACGAATTTTTAAAACTTAGTTGGCGTAAATTGCAAAATTCGAAAAAATTGTCGACTATTTTAAATTTTTTTTTCTCTAGAACTAAAAGCGATTTGTCAAAACGGCTTGTTGCATTAAAAAGAGGATACCTTAATTAATAATTGGTGATATTTCCACAAAGATACTTGAAAAAATGAATTTTATAGCGAATTTTGTAAGTTATCGATAAAAATTGCAACATCGAAAATTTTATCAAAACTTCAAATATTGTTTTCTCAAAAACTAAAAGTTATTTTTCAAAACGTGTTGGTTCATTGGAAAGAGGACACTCTTATTAATACTTTGGGAAATTTTCATACTCATATTCCAAGAACTGGATTTTATACGAATATTTAAAACTTAATCGGCGAAAATTGCAAAATTCGAAAAAATTGTCGATCATTTCAAAAATTTTTGTCTCAAGAACTGAACGTGATTTTTCAAAACGGCTTTTTGCATTAAAAAGAGGATACTTTAATTAATAATCGAAAGTGATAACACCGACAGTTTTGTTAGTAAAAAATGCGATAATGAATTACAAGCGAAGAGAAGAAAAGTAGACGAAACTGCAACAAGACATTTTATATATCGTATTGGAATTGTTACAATGAGGTTGCTAATGACAAGCCTGATATAAATAACGTTGTATTCAATGAAAAACGTCCTATTGGGTTGAACTTGATTATTACCTGCAGTGTCAAACACCTAAAAGAGATACTAATTCCTGTAAATGGTGGAGTACTAAGTAGTAAGTTTTTAATTTTAACCCTAGCCTATCTGGATTTTAAAAAATGGCCGGATAGTTGCCAAATATCCGTTACACCACTAGTCTTCATGTTTGCAAAGAAGGACCTTCTCGAATTTCCAAATTTCGGAACGTAAACTGTGGCTTTGTTGCATGAACTTTTACACTAAATTCTAAATGTATTTATATCAAATTTGAAATTAATACACCTTTTGTAATAGGATTTTCAGTTATTGATACACGAAGGACAGACATTTTTCCAAAAAATATATCAGTTTCCATATTACAATCTTATATTACACGATGTTTGTATGAATAAACATTCATTTGTACTTTTTGAATGCTTCAAGAAGCCACCATCTTTGCATTCGTTGAATCGTTCTCTTTGTTTTTCCCTAAAACCATCCAGCTTTTCAGCAAATGTAATTTAACGTACATTCAAGTCGTTGGAATAGAATCACAGTTCCTTAATGTATTGAGGGTAGTTGGTCGATTTTTGTTTCCTAAGAAATTTTTTACTACCCAAATAAAGTCATTTATGAATTTTGGAATTTGAATCACTAATTTTCTAATTTTAAGACTATCAACTCTTGACTTTAAATACTTAAAAACGTAGAAACATTTTTTGTACTGAAATTGATACATTTCTCATCTTCTACAGACTGTTTCATTAACCCTACTTAATATACAAAGACATTACACTCCCCTCCTGGAATCAATTTTCTCATCAAAGATTAACTTGTCTTGTTATAAATTTCAGCTATCCCACATTATATGTTAACATCTTTAAAGGTTACTATTTTTCATTCAGTTAACTCTATATTAAATTAACTCCTTGAGATACACTAAAAGTTTGTTTATTTAGGGGCGAAATTGAGGTACTATATTTATTATTAACAAAATTGCTTAAGAACTCGAAATTCGTAAAAAATTGAATCTAACATTTACGCATCTAAACTAACACAAAATAAATCGTACTCAACATACAACAATAAACTATACTAAATTATTAACTCTTTAAAGCATAAATATGTTCATGATAATTATATAATTGTTCCTTTGAATATGTCATAAATTGTATAATTTTAAAATACATAATTATACTTTGTAAAACGTTGAAAAGAATTAAGTAAAGTGCTCTTAGTACTAACAGTAGAATAGCATAAACGATAATAAAAATTAATAATTACTAAAAATCAGCATAATTATTTAACCTGTTAAAATTTCATAATTTATTACCTGTTAAATTAATAAATAAGCCAAAAATTGCCATAACCTTTTAAAATACTTCGCAAGGCTAAATTAATATTCTACAGCGATAAATCAAAGACTTCATTTATTGACTTATAGATTATTTGCATAATTATTGTCTTTTTATATTAATAAACCTTCCACTGTTACATAACAAGTTATTTTCGATGGGATTACTAAGTTTGAAATGCAATCAACTGTAACTCCACTTGAGCATGAAGACGAAGGTTGCCCAGTTCCAAGGTAAACAGTTTGTTTTTTCAATTGGTAGCAGTTTTAACCTTATCTAAACCGTTGGATCCACTATTAATTTACACTTTATATTACCTGCCATATACATTAAAAATAAAAGTCAAAGCAAGGAAGAAAAAACGTCTTTTAAAAATTTTCATAATTTTATAAATTAACATTTATTAAGATAAATGTAGTAATTTAATTCGTGGTTGGCGTTATAATAAAACAAAAATTTACAAGAGGTGTTCAACCTTGAAGTAAATTAGCAACACTCG